GTAAAAGTGAGAAAACTCGTGGGTTGAGATAAAGGCAGTCTAATAGGTAAAGCAAACCCGCGCACGCAAGCAAAGCAAAACAAGGAATTCATTCACTCCTTCCCATGGGCAGGCAGGTGTTCAGCCACCTCCAGGAAAGCAGGGCTCCATCACGCGTAATGGTTACTTTGGAAGACAAAACACCATCACTCTGAGCGTCCCCCCCCTTCCTTCTTCTTCCCCCAGCTTTATATGCCGAGCATGACGTCACATGGTGTAGAATATCCCTTTGGTCAGTTGGGGTCAGCTGTCCCGGCTGTGTCCCCTCCCAACTCCTTGTGCACCCCCAGCCTACTCGCTGGTGGGGTGGTGTGAGAAGCAGAAAAGGCCTTGACTCTGTGTAAGCACTGCTCAGCAGTAACCAAAACATCCCTGTGTTATCAACACTGTTTCCAGCACAAATCCAAAACACAGCCCCATACCAGCTACTATGAAGAACATTAACTCCACCCCAGCCAAAAGCAGCACAGCTATATTTTTTATCTTAATGTTTAAATTCTTAATTTAAATGCTGTGATAGGTGCAAGAGAAGTATTTTCACTACACTATCCTGTTTTACATCTAAAAATACTGTTCTCCACTCCAGACCTTCAGTCAGTACAAAGATCAGCTGATTTTCCAAGTTTTCTCCCTAAAACGTGAAAACAGAACACAAACACACAAACTAAAATATCACCAGAACCTGCAAGTCACTCAGAAACAATACAAGATCCCAGTCCTGCAAAAGTAATTCACATGTAAACTCCTTGTACAAGCACATAGTTTACAGTTATTTTAAATACACAAGCAGAAGCCAACTCATAGCTTTTGTTTGCACTACTCTGAAGTCTTTGGCACGACAGACATGCACACAATTTCTAGCATTTTAGAAGAACTCTACTATGGATCATTCAAAAAAAAACTTATGAAAAATACAGTATTTACTGTCATTCCCTTCATGTTTTCCAATACAGAAGTTCAAAATATTCCAGCACCACACATTTAATTCCATATTTAACTCACATCCACCTCAAGGTATCTGACACATAATAACTCAGAGAGCACAGACGACATGCCCAGCGATGCGGAACTCATGAGTATACACAAATTACTTCATAACAGAAGTGGAACACTGTTTCTGAAATCAATTGTAAACTGCTGGGTAAATTCCTAGAGAAAGAAAGGGAAATATATGAAAGGACACACACACACACAAATAAAAATTATTCTTTGAAAGTATTACTTTGCATACAGACTAGGCCTTAAGGTAAGTCTAAAATACATGTACGGTCTCCAGGTGCTTTTTGCACCTTTCAGGGAGCGCAAGTCTGTAGTAATAGCTTTAATATTTTAATTCATGATTTGTATGCACATAGAGTAAAACTAAAGTGATTCTTCAGCTTATTTTAATTCTACTTTTCTCCTTATGAAATTACAATTTTAGTTCCACCAATATAAAGAAATTGGATTCTGAATTCAAAGACAAGACAAAATACCCCTCAGTCATCACTTTTCCAATACATTAAGGTGCACGGTGTTCCACAGTAAATACTATTTAACTGGTCGACGGTGCATCAACTGTGCATAAATACGAGCTGCCTCCACTGTGAGACTGCCAGCAGCCTTCATTCTTTTCATTCTTAGTTCCAATGAAATGTCACCTTCATCCATTTTAGCATACATTTGAAGAATACTAGCTGTTCCCACGGTGCTTTTAAATTACCTTTAAATGTTTTAGCTATGGAATTTGTCACAGAAATTATTTATTCTGCTTTCTCTTTAACAAAGATAATCTGCCTTTCATTTCCTAAACAATGCTATTCACCTATGGCTTGAGCATCATACAAGAGAGATTACAGCACCACATCATTTTTTTAAGTTATTCTAAGTAAATCATAGCTACAGTCACATCTGAAACACGGGGCCTACCAGCCTTAACAATATGCTTTTAAAGCACCTTGTAGTTTGACCACAGCCTTTAACAAAGATACAGCGTATTTTCTATTCTGGGGATGATATAATGAAAACTGTTCGATCGGCAAGACAAGACCAGAGAGATTCTCACACTTCGTCCTCACCATCTAAGGCCTTTAAGATATTAGCAGATACCTTAAATAGCAGGACTTCTCTTCAGCAAAAGGAAAGCAAGAATTTGAATTTCTCTATTTAAAAAGACTCAGAGAACGGCTTACAAAAGACCTAGAAGAGAAGCGACGATTTTCATAGACTAAATAGCAAGTCTCAGCCTAGCAATCGGGGACCACCTCCCACACAGCCAGATACCTGGCTGTGCTAAGCGGAATTTGGACACAACTAACCGGGAAGCGGTACTGCGGCGGTTTCCGCGAACGGTTGGTCTCCAACACCCGCGGCTCCCGGCCTCCACGTTTGCGGTATGCCGGAGCTTTCCCTGCAGGACCCCGGCACGGCGCGCTCCGGTCCCCCGGGGACCGAGGATGCTCCCGGGGCAAGGCGGCCGCTCCAGGCCCAGCCTTCGGGGTTACAAACCCGGCCGCATCTCACCCGGCTTTAACATCAACCCCGAGAGCCAGCCCCCTCTCTTCAGCCACACCTCTGCCCAGGCGATGCCAAGAAGCGAAGGGAAACAAAACAAAAGAGAAAAATAAAAGGCGGCAGAGGACCCGGCGCGCCGCCCGCTGCCCGGCGGGGAGGACGCTCCCTCACCTTCGTGAGCTGGGCAATCTTCTTGCTCATTTTGAAATGCAGGTCCGGGCTGTGCTCGGCGCCCAGCCCCGGCTGGGGTG